GATCTAATACGGATTCGAGTGCCCGGCCCGGTCAATTGGTTGAGTATGGAAGTATTCTATGTTCATTCTCGTCACAATTCATCCCATCCTCCAGGGATACTAACCAGGTGTTAAAATGTTAATGCCAGGCGATAAAATTCTGATCTCTGCCATAATGTAATAAAATAACATCAGCGCGTAAACGCTGCGATATTCAGAAATGAAGTGACTTCGGTCGGGAATTTGATCAATGTATCGTCTCGCTGCTCCCATCGACGTAGTGCCGATAGGCGAAACAAAACAAACTCGACAGCAACAACATCAAGAATTCTCTGCTTTTCTTGGACGTTCAACCTCCTTACTGGTGCAGAGAGGTTATTATTATTATTATTATTATTATTATTATTATTATTATTATTATTAAGTAGAATCCTAGCGAGTAAGGACAGCACTACCTACGTCGTTCGCTGCAACAAGGGGACTTCGGGGCGTTCGCGGAAACCAAATACTTTATTTTTTTCACTGTCTTCCATTGAGCAACGGCAAATATATTTTCCGAGCAAATATAAATAGTGAATAACTTTCAGTGGAACAACAATCAGGCCATATCGATCTGAACCTGTTGAAAGCTCGCGTGTAAGAGTAGGTAAATGCAATGTAATTTTATAAATAAAATAACTCCTAAAGATGTTTAATCCAAAAACGAAATGTTTTGACTTCGAGTGTGTAGTAAATGTGATGAAATGTTTAGCGTCTTGTTATGTGGAATAAAACAACTTCCTAAAATGTAACATACAACTTGTTTTGCTATTTCTTTATGTTGAATAAAGAAATATTAATAATATTATTTAAATAAGAAATGAATATGAGGAAACTGATAGCACTTCACTTTGTAAAACCTTTGTGATTAGTACTTTTGCAAACCTCACAATCTCCATTTTTAGAGGGGAAAATAATTTTGAAATGTTTCGATGTTTCAAAGTTCGAATTATCTGAAACCACTTGTAAGATACAAGCAAAAACCAAATGTGTGATGCCAAAGAATTCGAATAATTTATGTTCTGTTTACTTCAATAATCCTCAAAATCGGTATTTCCTTACTTTTTTAAAATTGAAACGATAATGTTCTTTCCTATTTCCTTTCTCCCACGTAACGAAAATGACTCGTTTCATTTCGAAATGTAACAAAATATAGTGGAATATTTAAATAATCAAACATGTTAATTTTATTGCTTCAAAATGTGTGCGACCTAAACAAAAATATTTTTCGTTTCCCATCCTTGGTTACTACCCGTGCCATAGCGCTGTGCTGGCGCGAGCGTCGCCGCATCCGGCCCAGTGTCCACTTTCCGCGGTTTGCAGAGAGCCGCGCGGGAACCCGAGAGGAGCCGCTCTTCATTTGTACGCGCATCCAGCGCCCACTCGGAGGGTTTGCGAATCTTTAATTCAGCCAGTGGGAGGAGCGACGCGCGTGCCAAGGAGTTTTTATTCCAGGCGCGCGCAGGTGGACTGGTTTCAAAACAACACCGCGGCTCCGATGCCGTACCCTTTGCTATTGTTAGTGGCTTGTGCAATACCGCGTTAACGTGTGGTTTCATTCGGCTTAAGATCAAGGACACTAGGTTCTTTGGCAACTTTCAGAGTTCACAATTGCCTGCGTTTCAACTTATTTTTTGTTGGTTCAGTGCTTAGAAAATGAAATGGAACTTTCTTCATTGCTTAATGAAAATGAAATGGAACTTAATTCATTAATTAACTAATGGTTGAACATAAAATGTTTAAAAAGTTTAAAGACATTTTTAATTATTATTATTATATTTTTCGTATATACATTGTGATGATTTAACGATGTTCTGAATTATTTACTCATAATTGTACTTCATGCATGTGAAAGGAATTGAAATTCAGTCTTTGTCTGCAACACTAATTTCAAAAATATTAATAATAATAATAATAATAATAATAATAATAATAATAATAATAATAATAATAATAATAAATACATTAATCCCTGGTATTAATTTGGAAGGAATGTATTTCTCCAATGTTCTTATTCAATGAGGTCCCTATTTTAATATAATCATTGACTCAAGGACGAAAACGAGAATTTCACTTCAACTCATCAAAGTGATTCTTTACAATTCCGTTGAAAAAAGTCATTTTCCATCAACTTGCCTCTCCAAGCGTTACTCAATTCACAGTCGTTGGTGCATTCCGTAAGGAATCTAACAAACGGGATTCTTTCAATTGAGAGCGTGAAATTTCTCTGAAAATTTGATTCAAGACCTAGAAACTGCAATCCTCGAGCACATTCCGTGCTTCAAAAGGCAGTTCTTTGGTGCCTTGCGATTGCAATCGTGCCGTTAAACCCTCACCGCCTATTACTCTGGATTAGTAAACACTTCATTTCGGGAGGCTTTTTCATATTAATTTTCATAATCACATCTTTAGCATAAATTGACATTTTTTACAGGTAGATGCAAAGAATTGAAAGCAATATATTGAGGCTTCAATATTATTTTCACATAATTGTATTAAAAAATATATAGAACGGAAACTAATACAATAATTATTTGGATATTCAAATCAATTAGAATGTGGATTTTTATTTTTATTTTATTTAATTAATATCATACGAATCTAATGTATGTTTCAAGAGATTATCATGACACGTAACATGTCGTCATTAACATGACATGTAAAAATAAGGTACAAACTCTTTTCGTTATCACGTCGCAGCAGCGTTTCAAGAATTACTTTTAATCAAATGTGCAAGCTTGTACTTCCTACGAGTTCGATGGGACATTTTTCTTAGATATGTCTTCATATACTAAAATAATTATATGTTAATTTTTCATGTTCTGCATAGTGTAAACGTTTTACATGAAGTTCCGGTTGTTTAAAGTAAATGACACGGGAGTTTTCGAGTAGGAGATGTCACTTAACTCCCAGAAAATTCGTTTAAAGGAGATTATTGAGCTAAAAGAAAAATAAGAGTATAACCCTCTCAGCAGCCTTATCCGTCGACTTTTTCCAAAGGGACTAATAAAGTGTAAAGCGTTCCGACTGTCGTCACTCACTCTTAAGTTGCTACTCACAAACGTGAACACAGAAACACAGCTTTCATAAATCTCTCGACATTTTTATTTACTTTTCCACCTGGGAAGGTTTCGTTAAAAGTGTTTTAAAACCACTGCTCTCCACAGACCATTAAAACATTTTTAACCGGAGACACACTTTAAAGCAAAAATATATCTTTTGATGTATGAAATTGTACTACCCTTGTGTTCATGCACACTTCGTTCTGAATAATTATCCATTTTGCTCTTCGTCTCTAATTTATGTCAGGTTACTTAAGTTAATCTGCAATATATTTACTAATTATAACTTACTACTTTTCAAAAGAAAATAACATTTCATTATACGACATCTTTGAGAGATAATGTACCAAAATAATGATTTCACATACATTAGTCCTACTTGTAGCATTATTTTAATTCATCAACTCAAAAATGTGAACAATCTCAAATGGATTGTCGCAGTCCATTGCAAAACAAATATGCGTCAGATGTAAGGTACCATTAATACTATTAAGCTATTACGATTAACAAATAAATTACAGATGTTCATCTTCAATAAATGTCCTATGCTATTGGATTTCATCAGGACATCAAATCAAGACGTCACCCGTTATGTTAAAATTTAACAAGCTATATAAGTAATTACACATTTTTTTCAATTGTACATGTATACGCCTTCCTCACAAACTCGTTTACACGGATTTCTCAAGAGACAGTCATCGAAAGCCATTACGTCTAACTGCGCTTAAAAATTTTAAAGCAGCGTATTTTGTTCCCGGTTGCGCGACGACAATATGATCTGTACACATTGACTATCGTGGCTACCACTGCTCGCAGGTCTAGAAGTCGTCCGTATAGCGACAAGCCTCTACCTTCTGCAAGGATGCCTGGACAAAGAAGCACCCAATGATTTGCAACTAACAATGCTCTGTGCCCTCCACGATAACAACGGAATTTACGGCTCGGTGCGGCATAGCCCGCAGAAATTAGTAAGAATTACATTGCCAAATGCAGTAGGTCCTATAAGCGCCCTAACACGGTGTCTCTACGGTGCTAAGTAAAAAATGAGTTCACTTTTTCTTCAAAGAAGTTGTGTTTTCTATGCAATGATTAAGGTTTCGCACTAACATGTTACACCGAGTGTCATCCCAACTATGTGCCCCGCTCTCCGTAACTTCTATACGGTTTACGATATCAAAATACAGTTTTTGTTCAACGAAGGAAAATTATGGGTCAAACAGTATGCTTATAGAGACATTGTTCTGAATACTTATAGTTTTTGAGAAATTTATTCATTTGTTTTTATGTGGAAGTATATATTTTTCCACTATATTTAAAATCAAAATAAAGTCCGAAAGTGTAGTTTTATGACTTAAATTATTACCAAAACATTAACATAAGATACACGATCAATTTCCTCTTTATTTTCTATCAATTGCTAGGGAGAAAAATATGTTCTTCCATTTAAAAAATCAAAGATGAATAAAGTTCTATAAAACTAAAAATATTACGAAGAATGTCTGTTCAGCATATTACATGTCCTATGATTCTACTTTCCCCATGATTTGGCAAACATTGCGTTTCTTTGTCATAAACGGTACATAATTATGGCGGGAGACCCGTAGTTGGCTGATACACTGTGTATTATTGTTCGCCATGAGATAGCGAAATCGTTGGTGAGTTTTGGCGCAAGCAAGTCTAGACACTTGTTTGTCTGCCATTGGAAGTGTAACTCTGCCGATCCTGAGTTGCACTAATAATTAACCATTCTATAAATTCCTTTTCTTTGAAGAATAAGTAAATACTTGAAGTTTTCGAACCGTCCACCACAAATTAATCATCTAATTTCTTGGTATTTTGCAATATCGCAGAGAATAATTTTGGACTTAGAAACTCATACGTCTAGACCTTTGGACGACTGTGCTCTTTTGTAATCCAATAATGGTGCGGTATCTATAACATCGATTCTTAGACATATGCGAGTATAAGAGTTACATGAGTAGTGAAGAGTGGTGTAGGTTTTTTGTAATTTCCTATCTAAGCTGTGCCTTGAAGGTGTGGATGAGGATGTGTGTGTTCGCGTGTGGCAGGGGGACCCCGGCGCGGGCGTGGACGCCTTCTTCCACGCGCTGTACACGCGGCACGGCGACGCGCGCCCGCTCGCGCTTCTCGGCAGCGCCTCCTCCGACGTCACCGAGAGCCTCGCCAAGGTGGCGCCCTACTGGAACATGCTGCAGGTACGCCCCCCTCTCCCTCTCTTTCTCTCCCTCTCACTCACTTCCTACCTCCCTCCTCCTCTCCCTTCCTCTCTCTCCCTCCCTCCCCCCTTTCCTATCTCTCCCTCTCTCTTTCTCTCCTCCTCCTCCCTCCTCTCTCTCCCAATTCTGCCTCCTCCCCCCCCTCCTCTCTATCTCTCGCTCCATCTCCTATCTTTCCTTCCCACCTCTCTCATTCTCTCTTCCCCACCGGCTTCTGCTTCTGTCTAACACGCGTATTTTCCCTTTTCCTCTCACTTCCCCGTCTAATCTTTTCTTTCCCAATTCTTACTATCTTTACCACACATTTTTCTTCTTCCTCTAACTCTCCCTAGTTTTCTTCATTCACAATATTTGCTTTTGGTGCTATTCTATCTTCTCCACCTGTCCTAATTCTCCCTAACTCTCATCTCCCATCTACTCTTCTTCAGTGTTTCTTTCCCTTTTAATTATAATTTAAATTATATCATTCTCTCCCTTTAATTATAATCTTTAATTATATCATTCTCTCCCTTTCTTTCTACTTCTTTAGTATTATTTTCTCAAAAATTCAAAAACATGACATTTTTGTTGTTTGACGAAAAGTACACATGTATTTGTATACGTTTTGTGTATGTATTTTCTTCACTTTCATATTTTTTGTCAAATGTTACTAATTTAAGTGTTTTACGAAAAAAAGGAAGAAGATAACATTCAGAATGCAGGCTGCGTTGAAAAAAAGAATAAAAATTAAAAGTAAGGATTGACTCCAAGCATTCTTGTTTTGTTGTTGATTTGTTTTGTTTCGCGAATCGGCCCTCATGGGGCCGCGCGATACATGTATCCCACCGAAGCTCATTCTTGAATATCGAGGTCGGTGCACGTTACTTTCTATGGAGAGATCAGAATTTTATCGCTGATTACATTTTACACCCCTGGTTAGTTATCCCTGGAGGAAGGGATGAAATTGTGACGAAGAATGATGAAATAGATACCCACAACTCAACCATGACCGGGCCGGCACTCGAATCCAAGATCTTGTTCGAGAAGCTACTGCACTACTGCCTTAGCGATCTTAGCTATCGGATGGGCCATTTATTTTATTAAATGAAGCTTTTCTATAACGCGAATTGCATCGCAATTCATCTTGTCTTTCATGTGAATTGAATTACAATTTTATTTCTATTCAGTTTCGTATTGCTTCGAATAAAATATGACGTGAGAGGTTAGTTAAGGTTTTTGAGAAAATTATTTCGTGAAGTGTCAGAGCATTGGGTCCATTCATGCTCATATGTTTAGATGTGCACTTCATTGTATACGCACGTTTGTATGTGAATGACACATATGGAATATAGACGAGAGAGAAATCTCTGGCAACCCAGATGCAGCTGTTCCCATTGTCAATCCACTGGATTATATTATGTGAATTACCATTAATGCTTTTGTGAGATCCATAATGCGTAGTCAATGAGCTTCGTGGGAATATGGGACACACAATGATTTGATTGGTGGCATTTTGCTCTTCAATAATTTCATACAATTTATTAGAATAAAGGACATCCACTAACAGACGTTCTTTTTCCGAAGATTATATGCAAAAGCTTTAAACTTATATTTACCTGATTGAAGATATTGTCCAATATACGAAGACATTAAAATAACTTCAAAATGAAGAGATTTATAAGTACTTAATACATTGCATATTGAAGTAACACTTAAAGCACATCAACTATTCTTTCATGTTTAATCTACGAAAAGTTATTTACTTCTTTGCATGTTATTTATTGAACACATAAGTAACTTCTGAAACAAAGTAGATTAAAATAGTCGGTGCATTCTTCTCTAACACTTTTCAGGACAAATGTAATGCAATTATTGTAATGCAAACGTTTAATAACGTAATCCTAGTAAAGATTTTGCTTTAGATAAGTTAGTCATACAATGCTTATAATTGTTTCGGTACACATATTTGATGACATTCTTAATTCTCTCATCACTGAATGATATATAGAAAATCGTCGATTATTACTATATTAATAGTATACGTGTAATTACAACTCCGCCGTGTAATTAAAACTACACAACAACCAATCAAAAATCAGATCAATGATCAAAACCGTTTATTCAAGGCTCTATAACACAGACGTGGCCAAGGTATTTCGAGTCGGCAAAGAAAAATTAACAAAACTGTACATCACAGACAACGTAGCTTCATCAACTACATATAAACAATCATTGAATAAAACAAAATTGGTGAAGAAAACGTTAATCTAGCTAACTAATGGAACGACATTAAATATTTAACATGAATAAATTAAATATTTTACGTCTAAAATATTTATTCTGAGCATACAATAAATGCAAAAACTATAAACGTCAGTTGTGTTTGTCCATTCTAAAACATACGCCAGCAACACTGAGTCACAAGTGACTAGTTTTTTGCTTTCCAATATATATACGTGTTGTATTTTCTCTCATACCAGTCTTTACTTTTCGTGGAAAGTAATGTTTACTCATATTAAATACGAACACTCGCTCCTATCATCACACTTTCCTTGAACATACAACTCGAGCAATTATATCCATCTTAATCCAATCATTTCGTTAATTACTATACTAATATTCGTTATACCCGCTTAAATCGACATATTATTGTAATGGAATGATTGAAAAGAGTAATCTCACTGTTTCCCATCCAAAGACCTTGTGTGAACAAACATTCAAAAAGGGTGACCTTGATTTGACTGTTCAAACTCGACAGCTTTAAGCGATAAGCTTCATACAGTGGTGGGCCGTCGCATTACAATCTTCAGCAGAACGCCAGGAACAGTGTAAATATTAACGACTATTTAGAAGTTGCGCTTTGTAGAATGCGTTCTTGCACTCTTGAAACTTGCATTCTTACTTTCTATTGCTTAATTTTTTTTTCTTGAGATGAGTTCAGGTTAAAGTGGATATTGCACCTCTCATATTAGAATTCAAAGATTTACAAATGTCTAAGAATTGGTGCCAACTTGATTAAAAAGAGTTTATTTACATGGACTACCTAAAAAACATATTAATTTGTTAAACTACATTCTCTTTAAAATGACGTTTCCATAATCGTTGTTTGTCAGCTTCAGGTATTGGCAGTATATTAACCTATTACGAAATTTACAAAAAACGTTGTTTAAAATGTCATCTAAAAAGTAACAACACACTATAACTAAATTAGGCTCACTTGTCATCTTATGCAATTATATATGAGACAAGAATGTACAAAGTATCCACAATTTACCTAGAGTGAGTACTTATCTAATAGTGTGTACTTATTTTAATGTAATCTTTTTAAGAAGTCTTTTTGTAAATACTAGAATCTTTAAAGATTCTTACATCAATGATACCTGAAGATGACAAACAAATTTTATCGAAATGTCGTTTTAAAGAGAATGTATTTTAATGAATCAGTTTACAGATGACTAAGGTTTTTCGAACCTGAGATACAGTATCGCAGCTAGTTTGCTTTGCCAAGACAAACAGTTGAGGAATTCGTATTCTGCTCATGCCAATTCTTCAGTTGACCTTACATGAATACACGCTCACAAAATAAACATGGCGACCTCGACGTGACCACGTAACTTCAACTCCCGCTATAAACACCTAGCGGGCGACTCGCCTTCCATCCACCATGCGGCGCCACATGAGCGCAGTACTGCTAGCGCTCCTAGCGGCGGGCCTCGTAGGGGTCCTCGCCGCGGTCGAAGAAACCAGCAACTCGGAGGCCCTGGCGAACGGCGCCGCGGCCGTCGTGGACGACGTGGAGCAGGGCGGGCTGGCGGGACTGGAGGAGGAACCGGCCGTGGAGGAGGGCGCCGTGGAGGTCCGGGAGGCCGTGGAGAAGGACGGTCCGGCGCAAGGGCTAGAGAATGACAAGGAGGCGATGGAGGCCACGATAAAGGGCGATGTCGCTGGACTGGAGGAGGGCCAAGCTGCCTTGGAGGACGGTGCCGCGTCCGCCCAGGATTCCGGGGAAAACGGCGACATAGCAGGGCTGGAGGAGGGCCAGGAGGCGGGGCAGGCAACGGAGGGAGCGGTGAAGGATCGTGAGGAGCTGAAGGGCAAACGGCAGGACCAACCGCTGCAGCTGGAAACTCCCGTGGGGTTCCCATTCGGGGTGCCCCTGGCCACGCAGCCCGTGACCGGTGTGACCCCCGGGTGGGACGTCCCGGGCATGCAAGTGCCGGGATTCGGCCTGCCCGCCCCGGGCCAGAGGCTGCCCCCGCCCCCCGGGCCCTCCGCCCTCACCGGCGTCACCGCCAGAACGCCTTCAGCCCGACAGCAGAGCCCCACCACCTCTACCATGGCAGCCAGCCGGCAGAGGATTCTGGACTTGCTTCGCCAATTGCTTTTCAGGCTGAGGAACCCAGCGGATACCATGACCACCGTGACCGACGGTTGAGTGAAATGTCGGCAGCCGTCGTGACGATGCGATTTAATTTAGAATGCTAATGACGGCATTGATGCGTTCAAATTGAAGTATGAATTGTGAGTGGACACTTTAATGAAGTTCAGAGAAATACTCAACACTCGTAGTACACAAATACCCCAAAATTCAGACGAAAAAAATGTTTGTTGATTATTAAGTAGAAACTATTGACAATGCAAAACAAACAAAAACCATGTTTTTATAATATGATCTCAATGTATTTTTATTGGTTACTAACGTTATAGTACGCATCATGTCGGTAATAATTAACTAATCAATTAATCGATTAAGTAATGATTCGATTATTGTAAAATTTAAAAAATGTTTAAATAATACAAATAAAATGATATTTTCTTAATTGCGTAATTTTAATAACCTTTTTTCTTGTAATCTTGAAAAACACTACCTTCAAAATCTGTACGTCTTTCACAATTCCAAGATGAGTTCTTTGCACATTTATAATAACTTACGACACAATGTTTTGGAATCGACGATCAGCGATGTTCGTTTTCACAACCTTTCCGGTGAGCGTCACGCTGTTACTAAGGCTGCTGACGTTTCAATCAGGCAACTGCTTTCACATCTACCCGGCAACAGCTCGTTTTCTGCTTAGCACGAAAGACGCTGCAGAATTGTGTGAACATCGGCAATTTATCACTAGTGCTGCAGCTCACAAGCGGCAGAGATCATTGTAACCCTGATTGCGAAAGCCTACGTAATGAAAATTCATTAACGCGGGATTTATGCCCCCTGACAAGTTCAGGATTTTTTAACAGCGGGGCACGACTACTTCTTCTTGTTCATCATATTCCTATTCCATGTTATATCTATCGATTTACGTTGCATTTACAAAGTTAAGTTAATTTTGTCCCCTCTTACACATCTATTAATAATAGATTCAAATAAAACAAATTGAAAAGTCTTATTTCGAAAGTAAGTTATTTTTTAGTGCCAATTTCGAAATTTTTCACATTTGTTCGAATATTAACTATAATATTCTGAAGATTTTAATTCCCCCTAGCCATTATCATTCAGAATAACTGAACCTCTTTTCTAAACGAAAATTATTTATGTAAAATTTATTTTTGGATATTTCGTAATCAAACTGTATATTTTATCATTTATTTTCGTATTTATTGATATTTTATTTTGTAAATAAAATTGTAAATACCTGTTTATTCCTGTCAGCAAGCACAGCAAGACATTAATTTGTGCAATTCTTCCAATTACCGTATTTTTAAGAAATTAAAAAATATGAAGGTGATGTTCATGAAATATGCAATTTATATAGTAATGTAAAAATTTAACTTATTCTTCTTCTTTTGCACTTCAAGGCGACTGCCTATTCTGTCTTCACACATCGAACCATCTCATTTCCTCCTTTTTTTACACAATATATTGTGATAATAGATTCAAATAAACCAAATATTCCGAAGATAATTGTTTTCTTTCCGACCTACTACTGGGATTACCAAGCACGGCGCCTGTAACGCGGGCAGGAGACCTTTAAATTACTACAAAGCATCACGCAGATAAGCCGGATAAATCCCAAATACAACATTTAACTAATAAATACGAAAATATGGTCGAGGTTAGTGTCACAAAACCAAAGTTCAGCGTATTTCAGCGCGTTCAGCGTATCGGAGATTTAGTCCCTGTTTTAAGGATGCACCTTAATAACTTTCGAGAAGTAAGAATATCATTTGAAGGAACATATCAAAGTGCATTTAAAATATAGTTATAAAAGTTACTTATGATTCGTATCTATCCTCGAGTATTTGTACTACTTAAATTATACTACAAAATTTGACTGATTTGTAGTTTGTACCAAAATTAAAATTTGGGTCTTTAGTCCCTCCCAGACACGCATATAATTGTTTTAGGTGGAAAGCGACATCTGTGGGGAAATGTTCCATTCGTATTCACAGGTGAATCATTTTATTTTTAGGGGAATAGAATTTTTGTTTTATTCTTTGAAAAACTGTTTATTTTTCTATGGGATAAATGCACCAAATGCTTAGACCTATTGCGGCTAATGATTGTTTTGTGTCAGAGACGATCATTGACAAGTATGTAAATATGATATATGCATATATTTATTTGTAAAAGAGCTCACGATTTATCAAACAACAATCATTTCTATTGTCACTCAGAACAAGCTTGTTGTTTGTTGATGGTTATGCATTAATTTCTTTCGTTTTGTTTCTTGAATATTGTAATCAAAATAAATTATTAATAGTGAAATGTTAACGGACGCTCCTCCCTCAAAAAAAGATTTGCCAACGAGGCCTCCTATTCCATTTTCATTCGCAATCACCACACTCAGTTATTAAAAGCATGTAAAGTATCTAAAGAATTCTTGATGGTGTTACTATTTTGAAAAACAAATTAGTGTGCTCGACATTTGCCTTCATTAGAAATAATACTCCTCAAAAGTCCATTAGAATTGAGACAGTAGATTCAAACTCTTAAATACTAAGAATTAAAAATTCGTCTTGGATTGTAATAAATACAAATGTAAAATAATTGTTTGTAATGAACTAATTTTCGCAACTAGAAACTAAAAACTAGAAACTACTCTTCAAAACTTGACAAGTCGCTAAAATGTTTCTGACTAGATTAGAGTCAAGAATCAAAAGGGGTGAGTATATTATTAATTAAATATTAAAATGCTCTAAAAAATTGATTGTACTAACCAGAAAATATGTGTATTGAAATTAAAAGATTTTTATTTTTTAATTTTTATAAAAAATTTGAAAAAAATTCATTTAATTTTTTTTATATTTATATTTTACGAGAATTACGAACTCTTCAAATTCTGTTTTAAGACTTTTATTGGCCTTTAAGACAGATGTTTCTGGAACTGGAAGGTCCTAGGGTTCGAGTCCCGACAATGGCGGACCTCCAGTTGCCCCCACGTCTCGCCAGACGTGAGGGTGAGCGAGCGAGTGATCAGGTGAGTGAGCGAGGGCGTTGCAGGTGTCGTTCGGCGCGACGTCGTCGGCGCTGAGCGACCGGCGCGAGTTCCCGCTCTTCTTCCGCACCGCCGCCCCCGACTCCTCGCACAACCGCGCGCGCCTGGCGCTGGTGCGCGCCTTCGGCTGGGACACCGTCGCCGCGCTCTCGCAGCACCAGGACGTCTTCTCGCTGGTGAGCCCCCGCCCTCACCCCCAGCGCGCGATGCACCGAAGCCGGGATGTAGACAGAGATAGCACAGGCGGTGCGGGGTAGAGATGACCATGCTTCTCTGATATTATCGAAGGTATTTAACATCGACTTTTTGAAGGTATTTAACATCGACGAATTTCGAATAGCAGCTTGAAGGTACGACCTCGACTGACTATTCTGGTCAAAAGTAACAGAATGAATGCAACTAGGAGACAAAAATGTCTCAGGAAATGACTAGTAAATAAAAGGAATCCCTAGGATGTAAAAAGTAAAGGAATTACAATCACAGTAGTTAGTTACGAACCTGTCACTGTTAATATACCATATGCACATGTACCATATTTTAATAAATTGTCTGAGAGTATTTAAAAAAAAATACTTAGTTTCCTGCAGAGCGCTTTGATTTTGTCAGGTAAATTGTTGTTATAGCCACAAATGTGTTTAGCTTACGTAGTTAAACATACGCAGTATTATTACCTTTTAATTTCCAATTATTTTTCAAGAAGGAAAACAGAGTATTCTTTATTAATATTAATAATTAATATTATCAAATAAGAAGAATACATTTACGTTAATTCCAGGGGTCGTGAGAACGACGTGTCATTTATCTTCATTTACTGTATTTTCTGAGACATCCTTTGAAGAATTATCTTTTGTTTTCCAACTGGATAAAAGCTATTAATATTCCTTCTCTGTCAGTCTCTTCCCTAGAAGCTTTAATTAATTCATACATTACTAATTGACACATTCAAAAGATTAATTGAATTAATTCCAAACATATCTTATTTCCATCATTTGAAGTAAATTATTTCTTCGTCTTCGAACATGCAATTTCTCGAACATTACAAAATATTCATTTAAGAAATGAAGGCAGACGCATGAATGTTCACTTTTATTTTTTGTATCATTTTAAACACCACTCTACATGACAGAAGATCATATGAACTCAGCAACGAACAGTATAATTTCACAGGTGTCAATTGAATGAAGCACTAGATACAAGTTTTCGAATTGCATGTCTATAGCTACAATAGACATTAGCTATAATGGAATCGCAGAGCCGCTGACATATTTTACGATAATGTAAACCACAATACCCTCTGTTAACAATCTTTGACGCTTTTATACCTAGCAGCTTTCATTCTCAATCAAAAGAATTTAAGATTTTTATCCTTTTTAATTAAAGCAATGTAGTGTGTCAAGTACGATGTTTTTGTGTATAACTAGAGAATGTTAACCGATAGCAGCAAATACTTCTTCCATTGTGAGTGTGGTCTATATGGCACTTTACCCGTCACCATTCAACGAAAAACAAATTTAGGAAATACGTTTTATTTAAAATGCCATCTATTCCCTAAGCAAAACTATATTGTGTGATTTAGTTTAGAATGAATCCCCTTGGTAATTTTATAATGAAAATGGGTACCAAATATTTTACCTTATCTCGACTCTAGACAAAAGAGTATAGACGGTATTAATAATAAATAAATTCATTATAAAATTATTTTTTCAAACGTGTAATAAATCATTATAACAAATTGAAGTGTCTGTAAAAACGTAATTCATACTTTAGATGATCTTGTTGATCTGCTTGTTGTTCCTGTTCTTCAACATGCTACACTACAGTATTTCACTGGGAATTAGGCAAACGAAATCTGAACCAGTGTGGTGTCGAGCCGCGCGGACGTGAGTAGGCCACCGGCCACCGCAGGCGCCCCGGGAGGCCACTTGCAAAGAGGGGGCGAGGAGCCGCCCGGAAGGAGGGGCCGGGGTCGGCGCGCAGGGCCCCCGCGGGGGCGCTTGTGTCCGGTCGCCGCACCGCCAGGCGCAGAGGGCCTCTCGGGACGGAGGGGACACCGCCCCCGCCCCCCGGCCGCCACCAGGCCCTATCTCCTCCCTGGCCCGTCAAGCCCACGAACGCAAAACTCACCGCCTAGTCGCGTCCCTGCCGCAGGCTGCACAACGCCTCCAAATCTGCTTCCGTCATTGTTCCTCACTGTTCCACTTCTGCCTCCGACCCTATCACTGCATCTGCCACTTTACCTCTGATTCTGACTGACTCGCTGACTCTGTCTCTGACTCTCTGCCTCTGACTCTCTGCCTCTGACTCTCTGCCTCTGACTCTCCGCCTCTGCCTCTGATTGAGGCTCTGACTGAGACTCTGACTCTCACTCTGACTCTCACTTTGACTCTCACTCTGACTCTCACTCTCACTCTCACTCTGACATTGTTTCCGACTCGAACTCTGTCTTCGATTCTGCTTTCGACTCTGCTTTTAAGTTTTTCAAAAAATGTTTTTAAATATTAAGGTTTACAGGGGTTAAACACGAAACAAGTTGTTACTGCAACATTTGTTTCATTGTAATTAAAAATATTGGCAGGTTTCTCATGGAATTTGCGACCACTTATGAAGTTGTGATTTTTTTATTACAGCAAAATTGGAATATACCTGTTTTAATAAAAATATCAACCTAGGAAATAAAAGACACAAAAACATTCACCGTAAAAATTAATACTAAACTTAATGTACATAGTCTCATTAAAAACAATAAGCCAATGTCAATAAATAGTCAGCACGTAAGTGAGCAATGAAGAAACAGAATGAGGTTACAACAGTGAAAAGGGAAAATGAGAGACTTTTGACTTGACTCTACCTTTGAGCCTACCTTTGACTAGCATTGACTAGCCTCTGCCTACGACTATCTTTGAATCTGCCTACCACTGTGAATTCGACTTAGCCCGTCATTCTATCGGCAACATTGTCTTCCTCTCTGCGCGCTGCCCGTCCTTAGTCCTTTTTCTCCCCTTCTTTGCTTCCATTCGCTTGTCCCTGATGTTTCCCTAAATCCTGGCCCCGATCCCGTCCTTGAGACACACCCGTCCCGTCCCAGTTTAGCAGGCGCGTCCCGCCCGCAGGCTGTGAACGACCTGGTGACGCAGCTGGAGCAGGCGAACGTGACGTGCGCGGCCACCGTCACCTTCTCCGAGGCGGACGTCGAGGACCAGCTGCGCGCGCTCAGGGTGAGTGACCGGGCCCCCGTCGCGCTGAATAATGTCCGCGCTCTCGTCGTAAAACGTCAAAGAATGGCAATTTTCTACCTGTTTTGCTGCACCATATTTTCTGACACGGAAGCGCTCTTTCACGGCTTTTTCAGCCAATTCATAAAGGAGATATGCCAGAGTAGAACAAGAAATCATACTGTTTAAGGATTAGTAAGGAAAATTATAAAAATGTTTTACAGCACAAAAACATGAACCTGAACTGCTCTAATGCGTATCTGTCTTCAATGACTATTAAAATTGACAGAATACTTGATGGAATGCTCCATTTTTTTTAAATGTCACGTTCCACGAAGAACAGAAATTTAAAGAAACAATTCCCCTAGTTTTCAAGAAATCTGTGTATTATTCAGAGAATCTACTTCAGGAGCAAAAAAAACTTTTAGCTGAATGCTGCCATAATAATGGTCCATCCAGGGATCCTAGAAAATTAAATTAAAATTGGGAGTTTGTTACCTTCCTTTATTTGGCAAAATTGATTTAAATATTTATGTTAAAATAGGTATTTCTTTAAGAAATAATATTGTATAGTATCATAAATGTGCACTACATAAATAATATACAATATTATAACAAGTAAGTTTATAATTTAACAAAACTATTTGATGCCCCCAAATGATCAGCTGGATCTGCCCTAATTACATTCGTGTGTATATAATTTCATTAGGGTACCAAGAGCATAAACGTTTGTTCCTTAATGTACCTGTAGCATTTACGCTTTAATACTCGTTTATATTCAATTTCATTTGTTCATATTTTAAAAATATAACGTGGGGAGACTGCGGCCGGGAGACTGGCACAAAGGGAATGGCACTATCTATATGCAACGCATACAAATCACAAATACCACTTTCTAAGCTGTTTGGACAGGTCAGGAAAAATAGGTCAGAAGGGTGATGCAAAGGGGTCGGAATTCCCTGGATAGTGACGCAGGAGCGCGTAGTTGGAGGCGCGTACGAGGAGATACTACCTGGTGGTCCTCTTGATAACTGAGGCGACGAGACGTGACATATGACATTCTGTAAATCGAGGATTGCTCCTGAAAGCGCACTGGTTAATGAAGGTTTACTCCAATCGCAAAGCACTCAACGCCGCAATAGGAGCTTGGAGCGCCTTGCGACAATTCAGACGCAGCAATTTTTTTTCAAATCAGTATTAAATAAAACACAACATTCTCTTGTTTGAAACGAAAGACCGTCCTTTCATAATTTTCTTTCGTTTCTACATGTTTACATTTTGAACAGGCTTGATTATGTCAATAAACCTAATGTTCGCATCTCTTTAAGCAGTGAGCAATGTTCCGCACTAATAAACGTTACTTTCTTTTAATGTATTCGGATTATAAATGTGTTTTGGCCCTTTCTTCCTGTTTATAAACTCATTTTTAAATTTCAATCAACTTATTTTCTTTTTCCAGCGCTTGGACATTTTTAAGATACGCAAAAAATACAATGCGACATTGAATACAACAATTTTTACCGTAATTTCTAATTTCAGAAGAATAAGTATTCACAAGCACCACTGTACTTTCCCATAGAATGAATGTTTTCCTTTCTTCAGCGAAAATCACAATGATTCAACCAAATTTATTCGCATGAAGTTAAATTGGACCCTCTAACATGCGCAAAATGTTGGATTCTCAGGAAGCAGTTCCGTTGAAACGATATTAATATCTTGCATCAGAACAGCAATCGACTCGTCGACCCTGATATCCTGAGAATGATGAGAACAATCGACCACGTAATTCACATAGTAAGATAAAATTATTCCATTTCAATTAAGTTAATGAATGGTTGTCAAAATATGTTCGTATTTCTCATTACATTTTTACTTTTTAATATACTACTCCGTATATGGAGTAAAATACGTAGTATAGGGAAAGTTATGTAATGTTGCGGAAAATCTATATCGAGAATTCAACGTAAATACAAATTTTGAGGTCCCCTGATACCAAAAAGTGTTGTTTTCTTTCAAAACGTCCGTCTGTATGAATGTCTGGTGTATGTGAACACCATTAGCATCTAAACCATGGGAAGGTTATTTACCAATTTCTCAGAAAATTCGGGACAGAGAAATAAAAAACTGCATATTAATTTGCCTCTTACTAACTATTTAGAAGAAACCCCTCCATGTGGCCTGAGTCAAAGTTCTGCGATTTTGAAAACCATTCATTAGTTTTTGGAGGTACATTACAAGAAGACCCCGGAACATTTTCAAAATTTTCTAAATAATGGCTCCAAATTTTTTCTTTAAACTTTTGCCATGGATTGTGCTAAATGCTCTATATAAGATGACTATTGCGTTCTATTATTAGCAAAATCAAAAGTTTTAAGAAACTTCAACATATGTATTTTGGGCGGTGATAGATGGTAGCAGGCAAGAGTAAGTGGCAAGTTCGAATAGAGGCCAAAGAAAATAGAAAACTAATACGGGAAAGTCTGTGACATTCTGTAGCACCACTAGTTTTTAATTATTTTTGGGAAGGTTATTTTTTGAGTTATTGTAACTTGAAGTGGGAAAAACCTATATTGATTTTTTCCTATTTCTCAGAAAATTGGGGGTAGAGAAATAAAAAACTGCATATTAATTTGCCTCTTACTAGTATTAAAACAATTTAGAAAGAAATTGGAGAAAAAATTGAAAATCCAACATTCTTGGGGTGATTTGACACGAATAAGTAAAAATCTTTGTCATGTTTAAAACAAATGGATTTATTAAGTTTTTATAAATAATAACACTGCAGTGAATGGGATAATCTGCTGCACTCACGATATCACACGTACTTCTGTGTGGTTTTTGGTCACGAAACAACTGAGAATACGAAAAACAATGAAATGTTGGCAGACACAATTCTGCCAACTGTGAAATGCATAGTTTCAATTGTAACTTATCGAAGTATACTTCCAGCAGAGCTGAACGTTTTGGAAGTTTTTTTCTGTGAATCCTATTTGTTCGAAAATCAACTTCATCTCTCAATGTACGTAACATCTTCATGTCTCAACTTACGTAAGCTTCGATTTCACTCACTAGAATGAATTCGACCCTTAGTCTGTATCAGATTTGTTAATGGACCGATATTATATGAAAACCAATTTTCACATAGAGTTGTTTCTGCTAGGTTTTTTTATGTGTGTTACTCTGGTGTTTGCTGTGCGCTTCGGTCGGAACATTTGGGCCAAGTGCGCAGGGCGGTGCGGCGTCCCCGAGGGCTAAGCCTCACCTCTAGCCCGTCGCAGCATAACAGCGCGCGCATGCAGCCACTTACTTAGGGCGGGATTACAAAGCGCCCCGGGGCGCCCTGCGAGACGCTGCCCGCCCTACCTCTCCACACCCAGCCCATCCCCATCTCCCCCCGCGCACGAACCGCCAGCCCAGGCCCAACCACCGCCCACCACCGCCCAGCTCCGCCCCAGCCTTCAACCTACCCCACTCCCCCACATCCCCCGGCTGCTCCGTCCCGCCACTCTGCACCCCACTTCCTCAGTACCACGCAGCTCCTCACGACGTCACCCGCTCCGCCACCTGCCCCACTCTCCAGCTCTTCGACCTGCTCACCCTCCAGCTCGACCACCCCACCAAACCTCACATTCACCTCATCTCACCCACTACTCTCTTCTCGCCCCGCCACTCACTCGCATTCCCGCCCTGTCCCGCTCTGCACGTTCTGTACCGCGTCGTCCATCGCCACCGTACGTTTCCATCCCACCGCAGCGCTACACCGTTCGCCACGCTCCCTCCCTCCCCCCCGCTCCGCCCAACAAACCACCCACGCCGCCTTCCTGCCCTGCGACCTAGGCGCCCCCGCGGGCCCAAGTCTCCTTGGGGAGCGCTGGTGCAGCAAAAGCGCCGGCAGCGTTACCTGTTGCAGGAAATCGAAAGCCATACCGTTACTCTTCGTGGTGAAAGCTGGGCGGATATGTAAGCGTTGCCGCTAAACATGAAATATGGCTGTGTAGTACTAAATTTTCAAATATTTCTTGTTCGTTCTCCATAATAAAATATCGGACGATTAACAGCATGTGGCCGAGAAATAATTTTTAAAAATACTCTGTATAGAGTTTTGGTGTTACTTTCGAAAATAAACAGCAAGTCTTTGTCTACATTTTATATTCAAATTTCTCAGAATCACGTTTTCATGTTCCTTTATTAACAATGAATCATATTGTTGACTATAAAACCTTATTATTTGTTTGTCTTTGTAGGTCTATTTTATCATCCTACTCATTTCTGTTTTGAAGATGCATTAAAAAGGTCCGTAAGGTTCAAGTTAATAAACACTATCTTTATATTATTTTATGAATAATTCAATTAATATATATGTATATATAGAGACACATACCGTTTACTAATGACGACTAAACTGTATTAAGAAGTTATTTTAATTGATTTAAAAAATACTATATATCTTCACTTGTATTTTTAAAAACTTCCAAAAATATTTTGGTTTATTTTAGTGCCTCTATCTATAGACGACAAACCATTTTTAACAAAATAAATGTGATTTTTGCAAAAATTATGTTCATTTCTAATTGCTTTAAAGTGTATCCGAATTAGTGAATGTTAAACATCTAAGGTTCTGGAGGTGATTATTGATATTATTCTTCCGATTATGGAATTAAAAGTCAATATGATGTATCTTCATTATTTACTGGTGATTATATTCATTTATTGAGTAAATACCTTACTTTACTGCGGATACTATTGCTTCTGACTTCTTGTCGAGATGAAAACAGAAATTTTCATTACAATTTGAATTTTTATAGAACTGAGGTATCATTAAACGATATATCTATTGTGATTTAGAGATCGTACAAAATTGTAATGTTTAATTAATTATAATTTACATGTTTCATTGTGAATGAATATTTAATGTATGTACTGCAGGATATGGATACACGAATCATCATTGGCAGCTTTTCCCCCGAGATGGCTCCTAAGATCTTTTGCGAGGTGAGTTTCCAGTCACGCAAGAACGCACTCTTTTGACACATACAAAAAGGTACATACAACATCAACCCTAATTTTCTGAAGTATATTTTTTTCACAATTCTTGCAAAATTCTTACATGCAAATTTGTATGACAGACATGAACAGAGGGCTTTCAGTCATTTAAGGGTCAACCTCATTCTGTAATTAAATAACAAGAACATTTTACTGTCATTATATATTAGTTGTAGTTCAAAAAAATGATATGTGTATAAGATTATTACCAATGTCTGTTTATAATAAAAACATGAGAATCATGAGTCAAAAGATCACTGAATATTTTACACGTACTAAGAGTCTATTTTTCTCAATAGTTGAGAGTCGCAAGCTTACGACGAAAAATTATTCCCGGTACGTCATCATCATTCTTTTACTAGAATCACAAACAAGAGAACTGGTGCGACGATTTTATGAAATATTCATTGAAGAGGCTTCCTCACGTATTGGAACGCCGTGATTCACCATTACGGCACGCCAGAATAAATCAGAATATTCGAGTGGCACATCGTTACAGCCCGAACATACCAGGGAAGTAGACCCGCGAACATTTTGCGAAGGCGATCGACGACTTTATCCTGTAGAAAGAATAGAATAATGTACTAAGTATAATTTGTGGATAAAGTACCACTACCAATTCATCTAAATTAAAGTTTTTGTTTATATTTAAAACAAACTCTATGATGGAATATTTTAAAATCATTCATACAAAATTATAAATTCATTTTTATTTATAAAATTTCTCGGTCATCCAACAATATTTTGAACTACTTATAGCATCTAATATTAATATGGAGACTAAGATAATTAAACTTAAGAATAATGTAAATATTTTTTTCTTTATAATATACCAATATGTTATGGAATTGCATACTTCTTTCTCTTATTGTAATGAAAAGATTTGAAGACTTATATTATGAGCTAATTCAAAAGATTTTGCACACACTTGTATGCATATTGAGTGTTTGTTTACCAGTTTTGTTTGTTACATGAATTTAAATTGTTTTCTAATAGATTATTATGTAAATTTTTAATGTTTTAGTATGTTTAGTATACGCTTAAATTCAAGAATTTGAAAATGAATTTCAGAAAATATTAAATAATTTCTTAGCGTTCAATTACCACTCTTCGGTTTGATAATCACTTAAAGTTGTAATATTTCTCAATATGTCATAGCACTTAAATGCGTGGGATGTCGGCTTGTTCACTGAAAGAGAAGGAAGAACTTGGAAAATTCATACCAGGTAATAGATTAATGTCAACAGGAGGAACCATTAAATATGTCTTATACGCTTAGGTGAAAAAAGAGTATGGCGTGTATGGCATACATCGGCGGACACATCGACAGTATGGTATGTTCGCAGCCGACAATATGAATACGAACCTATTCAACAAACATTAGAATGGTATATAACGACGAAGTCAGATACAAAAATGACACGTTTTTATCATAATGGTGAACTTGCTTGGGACGCTTGAACGGCATAGAGTGTTTATTTTCCGTTCTTAAGTCACCAATTAACAATGTACAACAAACATCAGCTGGGTGCTTGTTCTCCAAGGGTAGGTCGTTTTTTGGCATGATTAAAATATTGCACCACATGGAAGGTGACAAGTAAGGTATATTTCTTTTGTTCTCTAATGTATAACACTGGATTTGTCGTGTTTTTTTCTTGCTGGCTTCCAATGTGCGTCAATTAGAACGTTTTCAGCTACTTTAACGCGTCAGAGCTGAATAAATCACCAAGTTCCTGGTATTATAAACAAGCAAGCAAACAATAATTCACGTCTCGCCTTCTGTAAGGTATATCCTGCCCTCTCAAAATCAACTTACCTGGTATCAAATACATCGTCTTGTATCTCTGCAATCCTCTCCCATGCTTAATGGGGAAGCACGGAGTGCAAGGGTGCACTTCATCATGTGAGCCATTAAGCACAGCCTGGGCATCTTTTGTCCCTTGCATGCCGCATACAAGAATCTGAAGGCTACAAACATGTATGTTGTATTTTCAAGGTTCTCAGAGCACTGACCTGCGATCTGCTTAGCCTTACAGTGATTCTGATGTAAACAAATACATGTGCTCAATATTCCCTCTTATTGATTGCTTAGGTTTCCCAATGAGAAGTATAATATCTCGCGTCTTCAAATAGTTCTTGTAAAAATTATAATTATTTTATAGAATTATTAGGAGGTATCTACTTTACCAGCGATCTAATTAATTTTATATCCAAGTATGAAAATACAAGAAGGCGATTACAGACGAAGAAACTGTTGTAGAAAGGGTTGTAGAATAGATATTGAAAACTCTGAATAGAGCCACAGTTCTGAAATGCGCCATCTCGTGCGAAGGCGTTGAGTGGTGGTGATGAAGAAACCTTACATTCATCCTCTGGTGCTGTCAGCTTAATTGTCCATTGGCTAAAAAAATCTCCAACAGTGATCAGTGGGCTTCGTGAGCAGTAGAGCAGTTAGTTCTGTTTAGTGCGGCAAGATCAGTACGTCTGTTAATAATTTTATCGGTCACGTGCGTCTTTAACCCTTGTTAACATGCAACCCCATAAGTTTGTTAAGTGCACATGTACCTACCTGTAGGTTAAGAAATTTAAAATCCTTAGCAACGGGTTTTAACATCCTTAGTAACCCAAGTAAACAACTGCCCATTCATCACAAGTCAACATTATTTCGAAAAAATCACATGGTGAATTACAAGCCAAATAATAATCAAAAAACGCATTATTTTTGGGGATGTTCATTATTAATTATAATTTTATTAATTGTGCAGTTTAACGTTCAATCTCTTTAAGAATGCACAAAGCTTGCAGAATGTTTTCAAGTTCACATTTTCATTTATACCTATTGTGCATCTCAGCATTGAATAATATACTCATAATGAGGTTGGCGTATGCACCTGCGACTGTAAAACAAAACGTAAGACAAAGTTTTGTATTTATAAAAGGAATAAATGTAAATTACCTTACTAAGTTCTTAAAGTACGCAAGCATTGCTTCTTCTGTAATCACGGCAACGTGATTTTGTAATTGCCCAGTTTTAAATTCTTCGTATGCCGTATGCCTGTTTGCATCATGACTGGGGAGCGGATTTTGATGACCTAAAACATTGCCATTAAATAATCAACAAAATTTTCTTAAAATGCCCTAAAAGCAAATAAAACTGTCGTAAAAGAGTATCCAAAATAGTTTAGATAAAGAACTCAATCTGTTGCGTATACTAGGGATGTAATCGAGTTTTCTTTGCTTGGTTCAAGTGAAATCAGCTTGAAAAAGTTTGGTTTGGGCTGCTCATTTCTAAAATAGTATCCATCTTCAGTTATCGCGAACAGACAATGGCTCCGATAGGCGTCACAAGAATCCTATATTACTTACTCACAAGAGCAGACATTACAATTTCTGAAAGAAGAAATCGAATAGGACATTGAGTAATGCGGTGGAGAACATTTTTAAATATTATTTGAAGAAATTAAAATAATGTTAAAATCAATTACAACATCGAAAAATTCTTTAAAAATGACGATGAAAGTAATGTGCATATGTAAGTGTGAATAATATATGTAAATGTGCTTATTAGAGGAAACCGACAAAAAATGCAAAAAAATAATATTGAATGGTTCGTTTTTTGTCATAACATAAAATTAATGTTAATACTAAAAGGTGTAGTTGTAGAGTGAAAAGGAGGAAATGACATTTCATTACAATCCGCCCCCTAATCTCGATCGTTCTAAGGCTGGACAGAGATTAGCTTGCGTTGCGGCGCGCGTTGCGTGCGTGGCCCGCAGGCGCACCGCCTGGGGATGTTCGGGCCGGACTACGCGTGGCTGGTGCCGGGCGGGCCGGACGCGGCGTGGTGGCGCGCCAGGGGCCCCCGCGGCGCCACCGCCGCCGCCGCCGCCTCCGCCTCCTCCACGGCCTCCGCCGGCGCCGCGGGCGCGGGCGCTGGCCCGGGCTGCGAGCCACGCCATCTCGCCGCCGCCGTGCAGGGCCTGCTGCTGGTCTCCGGCCACACCCGCGCCGCCGGCGGCGCCCCGCCCGCCGCGGGACTGGTGAGCGCGCCGTCGCCCCGCGTTGCACTCCGGTCGGGGAGATTGGGCATTATTCAGAAGGTACAGGTAGTTAAAAAATGACAAACTCGATCAATCAGATGGATTGGCGAAGGTGCCGTCGTCTCACGTCGGACTCCGGTGAGGAGATTGGTTATTGTTCAAAACGTACAGGGTGTTTAAAAATGGATCAATCTTATTCAATCATTTGGATGGTTTGGTGTGCACGTCGTCGCCTCGCGTTGCACTCCGGTCGGGGAGATTGGACATTATTCAAAAGTACAGGTAGTTAAAAAAGTCAATCTCGATCAATCAGATTGATGGATTGTGAAGAGCGTCGTCGTTTTGCGTCGGACTCTGGTGCGGAGATTGGTCATTGATCAAAACGTACAGGTAATTTAAAACAAGGATCAATCTCATTCAATTAGTTAGATGGTTTGGTGAGTGTGTCGTCGCCTCGCGTTGCACTTCGGTCGGGGAGATTGGGCGTTGTTCAAAAGGTACAGGTAGTTAAAAATGTCAATCTCGATCAATCAGATTGATGGTTTGGCGAGGGCGCCGTCGCCTCATGTCGGACTTTAGTGGGGAGATTGGTTATTGTTCAAAACATACAGGTTATTTCAAAAAGGCTCTCTCTTATTCATTAGGATGGTTTGGTGAGTGCACTGTCGCCTCGAGTCGCACTCTGGAGATTGGGCATTGTTCAAAAGGCAGAGGTAGTCAATACAGGGTCAATCTCATTCAATGATTCACCGAGGGTGGCGCCTCGCGTCGCACTCGGGTTCGGGAGATTGGGCATTCTTCAAAAGGTACAGCTAATTTTTATAACATGGTCGTTGAATGATTTTGGTTTCCTGGTGGAGACACATTGACGCTACTCTTCTTGAACAGATTATACAAAGTTTAGAAGCCTAGGTTGAAAGGAAAGACTGTGTTAAAAATAAGTGCAATTTCAATGAATCTGTTAAGTGGATTGGTCAGCTTGTCAATTCTTCATATGATACTCTTGTTTAGTATTGTTTAGTAATGAGGAACACATCTTTAATTGTATTGAGCGAATTTGTACCGCCTGGCCGCTATTGAGACTAAACTCTAATTTCATTGATAGTTTATGTGCTCACTATTATCCAGTAGAGTAATTGATAGATAGTTTGTATGTCCAGTTAGTTTCTTCATATAATCCTGGCTTCTTTTCGTAATCTTCGCAATAGTTGAAATGTTTAGCTCTCTCACAATAGTTGAGGTATTTCATTAGAAACCAACTACAGTTTTCCGGATAATTTTCTTAATGTTTTTGTTTTGAATCTTCTGAGAATCTCAATGTTAGATTCACGGGCAGAACTCCACAGTTCTACACCATACGACCAAGTGGGCTTTATAAGTTTTGTATAGCAGCACTTTTTTGAACAGAGAGAGCTGCGACCTTCTATTGAGGAGCCACGATAATTTTCGTTCTTTTAGTTGGGCATGTTTTCGCTCTGTAACGATATGAGTTTCCCTGTCAAGTGATTGAAAAAGTGTAACGCAAGATATTTGACATAGCCTCAGGTAGTTATTTTATACTAAATTTCGGACACTAGTTTGTTCTTAATAAGAAGGTAATATGTTTTGATTTTCATTGCATTTCTAGTTACACGTCGTTTGTTGTTCCAGTCTTCCATTTTGTTCAAGTGTGTTTGTAAATATTGCGAGGCGCAATAAGGATCTTCATCTGCTGGGAGCGTAGCTGTACCACCGGGAAATGCGGTAATAGTGCAGTCCGTTGTTGGCAAGTCACAAGGGAATATAAGGTACAGGAGAGGATGAAGGATACTGCCCCGTGGTGCGCCTGAGAGGATAGGTTTGAATTCAATAAGGGTATCTTAGAATTTTACTCGGGAAAAGCAATCGCGCAAATATGATTGGAAAAAATGATGTAGTGGCAAGTATTTCATCTTTTATAGAAGTCGTTCTTGCCAAACTTTATCGAACGCTTGCTGTATGACTTGGAAAGCCTTAGAACAGTACATATTATATTCTAAACATTAGGTTATGGAATTAACTATTCGATGACTTTGATGAACTGTAGAATGTAAATCTGTATTGGGACTCAGGAATTGTATCACTGATTTGATGATTAAGGTGCTGTGATAAAGAGTTTTTGAAACCTTTTGACAATTCTGGTAAAAGCCTATATGCCTATAAGTGGTAACTTCCTTCGCAGGTTTTGCTGGATTTACTATTTCTATTATTTGAGCATACTTCTATTGAATTAGATAATGACTATTTCGGAGCATTGTATTAAATATTGCCGTTACAATTGCAAGCCTTTCTTGCCAAGGTAGTTCTTGCAGTAGTGCGCCTGTAGTGAGATTGTAACTTGAACATTTTTCTGGTCTTCTGTTTCTTCTATTTCTTGTGAGTTAAAAAATGACATGCAGTGATAGTTGCAAAGATGAATTTAAAATGTCTAATACTTCATTTTCAGTTGTGTTTTTATGCTAGTTTAAAAACTGATATGAAGTGTTTTTTCCAAACATTCTGCTTTTCTTCTGCACTTCGGGCCCAAGAACCATCTGTTCGACGTATTGGAGGAATATGTTGCTACGGACATTCCGATTTTTTTGTTATTTTCTTCAGAGAATAGTTGTCTGATTTAGTTGGTGTCAGGTATTGAAAATAGTTACTTAGAATCATATTTGTGTTCATTTACATGCCTTTTGAATTGTCTTACTCCATAATTAAATTTTATTTTATTTTCTTGTTGATGTTTATTCATAAATATTCTACGTAATTGTCTGTTTTCTGCTACTTTTTGTATTATTCCTCCAGGGTATGGTAAAAATTTAATATTGTCATTTCTTTGAGGCGTTGCTCCCCATGTGGCATTTTGTACGGTATCCGTTTAGTGCTGTATTGCATTTTCGATATCACGTTCAGTTTTAATGCCATTTCTGCAGATAGTTCGCGGTTGGCAAACACGCAGAATTTTTTCCAACTTTTTATTACTTAGATTGTGATGTTGCTTCAGTAATGTTCGAATTGATGATTTGTTCTACCGGAGAGTGGACAGAAGATAATTCAAAGCTTAACTTCTAATGTATTTTGCAAAACTCTCTTAATTACACATAGATCCAGAAGGTCAGTGAGCTTTCTCATGTCTCTAGGCCAGTGTGAAGGTTCATCAGTTGAAGCAGTAAGAACGTTTAGTCTATTCGCTTCTCCGTGGAGGTTGTTTGCGCTTAGTGTGTTGTCATAAACCCCAATGCTGGATTTTGGCATTGCTATTTTATAAACATTTCGAAATTCCAGTAGACAGTAGTAAGATGTTATCGTCAAGGAACCGTGTATATCTGAAATCGTCACCGATGTTGCTTCAATTAATTCAGTTCTGAAATTCAAGTGTTTAATATTGTTGCGGATGATTTCAATCAATTCGAAGTACTTCATTTTGTTGCGGGTGATTACTACTGCTCCTCCTTACTGAGCCATCTGAATATTGAGTATTGTATACTTTATAACCCTGTATCTGAAGACAACTTTTGACAGTGAAGTTGGTTTTTGAGCATAGCGTCTCTGTATTATTCTCCGAGAATGTTTATTAATAGACTACGGTGCTGAATAATTCCATTTGCGTTTAGTTTTAGAATTTAATATTTTGAATTTCTACGCTGTTTGAATGCATCTTAGAAACTTTTGTTGTCAAGATGTTGATCAGAGTTCCTATTTGTTTTGATTGTGGTTTTTATATTGTTTCAAATCTTCGAAATGAGTTTTCAATGATTTTGCATAGGTCCGTGTGCACTTTATTGTACGATGTGCATTATGTCCTTGCATTGTTTCGTGGATATTGGATTGTGGGAGGGGATGGGCAATGAGAAATACTTTTTTTGGTTTATTCTTGGTTGCTTATAAGTGTGGTAACTCGGTACACGGGTAAACTCAGGTATTAGCCTATCTGAGATTTAACACTTTGTAGCTTATATCCGAATTTAAACGTAATTACTCGTATGATTAGGTATTAACCATATCAAAATAACTTTTTTAAATTTTTATTAAATATTTCATCTGATATGCTCTTTTTCCTTTCAAAACCAGAGTATGATTTGTGACATCATAACTCATGAACCGTTATACGTTATTTGATGATTCTTTTTCAAAAGTATTATTCGGATTATACTTTAGTGCCTGAACGTAAATTTGAAGAATGATAATTAACTTGTGTGTACTTTAGTAGTATTTGGATTAGAACTTTTAACAATCACTAGTAACAATATTGATCAACAAGTCCTACCGCGTTATCGTCGTTGGTCGTACGGGAACTGCAGAGTGCTGTCGTGACCTGGCTGGTAATGTGTCCCTTCCATGAAGCGGGTGTTTCTCGAGCTGTCCAGAAGCGCTGCCCGTCCATTCACGCTCCACGGGTCCACATAAAATATAAATGTCGAATACATAATATCCCAAGTGTATTTGTGTAAGTTGAGGTCGATAAGTAGGCATGATTGATCACGACAATCGCAAACAATATCTTTATTTTCCAAACAATTCATGCATATTTCAGAATACTGCTCGGTAGCATACAAAGACGTTAAATACACAAGTTTATGGTACTCTTCACTAAATCCACGTAGTATGTACTGTTTTCGTGGATTAACTGTAGTGTTTTGTCAATTTCAGTGGTTTGACTTATTTTTCAGGCAATTTATTTTTAATTATTTGGTCTCTTACTCCATCTACTATGCAAAACGAGAATTTTTGTAAATTTCAAAACATTTCGTTTCTTAAAAAATATCTTAAAACTTCCATTTGTAATGTCCATTTACATAATTGAGAGAATATTTCGAAAATGTATTTATTAACAATTTATTTAATCATAAATAATTTAGAAATACTATACAAATGATGAATATTATGAACATTAACAGATTATTATACCATCATAAAATATACCAATTTATGTACGAATTAATTAATAAGTCTTTACCACATTAATGTCAGTTAAGTTTTAATAACAAGTAGAAAAA